AAAGTCTCAAGCTTCTAACTTTAAACTAGTCTGCAAAACGAGTGTTTTATAACTCAATTTCAATGTTTCTTAAGAAACTAAGTATCCTTTAGGTTTTATTGGAAGTTAGTTTTTCTTAAGAAAAATGCACCTACTGCAACTTCAAAAATCTCTAAAAATATATCGTGTCATATACGAAAATCATCAGTATTATGTATAAACGTCGTCAGACGTTATACCATAGCCATATTTAAATATCCTTCTTTGTTTTAAAGTGGGCTATTATCGAGTTAAAGAAAAATTAAAATTAACTCTTAAGAAGCATTAAATTTTTTAGTACGACATAAACCAATGCTATGTTGAAGAATATGCCTTAGTCAGGTAAGTTGAAATCAGTCCAAACTTTCTAAATGTTGTAATTGTGTGGTCCAAAAACCAACATGTTTGTTTATAAAATCATTACAAATGTTTTTTAGAACACAACCTGGATGTTCATAAAAATGTACCTGAGAAGGTGAAAGGAAACTGACAAGAATAAGACTTAAGTGAAAAAAGAAAGTTACATAAGCTTACTCAGAAAAATGAAGCAACAGCAGGTTAACAGGTGTGCCAACCTCGTAAATTAGCCAAACACGTGGACCTGTAATATTTCAAAGAATGCCCAGTTTATAAATTTCAAGGTGTCATGTACACGATTTTTTAATGACAAATATTTTTTTAGAGGATGTCATTTTGTATACAATAGGTGAATCACACACAAACGTGTTCTTATATATTCTTCAAATCTTGTACACATTTCTACATAAAAATAAATAGTTCAATCCATCCAATTGCTATAAACCCCTATTAATTCACCTGGACACGGTTCATATCGGCAACGTGTCCTTTTGCACTTGTGTTATTGTGGATTGTATTACACAATCAAAAATTCAAAATATGATCAAACAAGTTGATGACAATAATCTAATGAACCGATTACCGTCTTGAATTTGACAAAATAAGGGCGAATGTGGTTAAAAAGATTAAGAAGGTGGAAACCAACCCGTACAATAGATATGAGCTCAATAAGGAATAATTATAAAGAGATGCTGTGATAATATTGAGACTTCCCACAGATTTCGTATTAGAACGTTATGATTCAACTTTAATGATAAATTTGTCTTGTTCGAGTTTGTCAAGATCATGTCTTACACTATCCGGGAGTGCATCCTTAAGGTTCTAGGTTTGAAAAGGTTCTAGGTTCTACTGGTTTAGATTGAGGTCTCAACTTTAGAAAGCTGGGTACATTAGGAATATGTCCTATTTCTGGAACTTTGATTCTACTGCAGTAAAATTTAGTTGTATTAAATAAAGATTTTAGAATAAAATTTCATAAAATTGTTGTAAAATATGACGTCAGGCAGTAGAAAATCAATTTTAAAATCAGAAATACATTGGAAATATTTCACTTTAACACATTCAGTAAATCCCTATAACCCGTGACCGTTAAAATACAATTTATATATTAAAAGGTGTTTTATCGAATGATAGTGTAAAATTATCCATCTAGTTATAATTTAAACAAATCTTTTCTCCATGAGAATAACATGGGAAGGGATATTTAAAGGTCGCTGGAGCAGAGCCCCAAGGAAATTTACCTCGTTTCTCTTTTGATGATATATATACAGACAATGAACTTTCGTTAGACATCTCTACCACGTATATAGCTCAGACATTCTTTAAAATTTAATATACAGTATAGATTACCCATCAGGTTCAATTTGGCTCAATTTGTTTAAAATATTCTAAAATCTATATAATTAATACGCTAAGAAACTTTGTCGGTTGAACTCCTCAGCCATTTCTTAACCTATTTTATCTATTGACGTCTCATTGGAAAGAGCGTGTCGCGTAGATTTGTAAACTGGCCATTTTTTAAAAAGTCCCTTGGGCTCTGCCCCAGTGGCTTTGAAAGTTTCAATGTTATCCTTGATTAACATAATTGTTTACATTTTGATCAGCTGCATAATTTAATTGCAGTTGTTATTTATTTTTCAATTCAATGAAACGCATTGAGTTCATTTATTTACTATTTGAGTTTATGTTAACATAACCTCCAAGACGGATCGTGCTAGTATGGTTGTATCTTAAATTTGTGTATTTATCGTTGTTTTGTGTCGCTATGACGGATCGTGTAGCATGATTGTAACTTAAATTTGTGCATTTATCGTTGTTTTGGGTAGCTATAATTTGTTTATTTGTTGTTTTTTCTTTTAATACCTCCGACGCGTCGACAACGAAACATCAACGATGTAAAGAACTACATGAGTTGTTTATATCGTTGCGAAACATAGACAGGAGGCGTGATCGTGATAACGACCGCAGCTACAGAACAGTGGCGCGTATATGCTTAACTCATCACAGTCAGCACATGACCCTGGACAATCTCAACTATTAGGTTACAAATGCGCCCTAACACTACCCCAAAACGACTTTTCGTTCTCAATTGGCCATCCATCAATGACCTGTGTTGCATGTACAGCGAGGCATTTTGAGAAAGAGAAAACCGGCCGGAATGCTTTAGGTTTATCAATAACGAAGATAAACATGGTCTGAGTTACACACCGGTAATCTCTGAGATGACTTTTTTAAATTCAATGTAAATATGACTGTTATTCGTTTTGAAATAACTTCTGTAATACTTTGCAATTGTTCGAATTCGAGCAACATGTACACTAGTCCATATTATTTTGACTTTAGCCGTATGACATACATAGATAGTTGATATAAAGTGTGTATTTCAATAAATAAGACTATAGTACATTCCAAACAAATTATCCTTATTCGCTAGTTTCTTCATTCTGCTGGTGGTCAAAGTGTAACGAGTTTAAAAGTTGAATCAGCCAGTCCTTGGTGAAAGGCTGACTATGTATTTAATGCATCTGACAATGGCCTACATGACTGCGCTGTTTTAGGCTTACTTAGATGTTTATATGCGATTTTAGTTCACCATTTTAGCTACTTTAAAAGTAATTACGACTGATAGCAAGTTTAATACTAACCAAATCAAGTTTTTTTTTCTATTGTTTAGTTCTCTTTACACGGAGTTCTCTTGGGTTAATTTTGGAATGTGTGAAGTTGTTTGCTTTGATCTTTACGATTAGCCGTTAGTAATTAACGTATTTAAAAAATGCCAAATGAAATTATCTTGGACAGAATGCATTCTCAACGTTTCTTCTCGCGATAGGGATTTTTTATAAACCAAACAGAAAAATTTACCTAAACACCGAAGTAGAGATATATCATTTAAACTCCCAACCCGTATTATCCCAGGTGTTTTTGTCCTATATGAATAATACACTCTGTGTCTGATGGATCTTAGTTTTGCACTTCTCTCAGTTTAAATTCAACTCTTTAATAAAGCAAATCGATTTTAAATATCCATTTTATACAAATTATCATGTTGTTTTTTTATATATATATATCCAAAGAACATTTTCACCATACCATGATGTTTTTAGATGTTTTACATTAGTTAATTGGTGGCTGAAAGTTACGTTTTGCTGGCCATGCCAGCTGTCATTTTCATTTAGGAACCGAGGAAGTTTTCAAATCCCTAGGGCCACAAAATCAGCTGACCAATTTCTTTCTTAAAACATGAATGCATATTATATACACAATCAGTATCCATAGCATTGCAATAGAATTGTTTCATTGTCACCGTTGCCTAGCAACTATTCATTATTATTTTTGCTGATTCCTCAAATTATTTCTTCACATATCCTCAAAGTTGTGTTGACTATCAGTGAGCATTATTATTGTGGTGAATCGTGGTAATTGGTTATAGTGTGGTGAAAATAGCGTTCGTAAAACGGACCGAAATGATTTTGCAGTTCTCGATCGTTTTAAGTTCTCGACTTCGTATCGAGCCGGCAAAACCTCATTTTCGGCCCAAGGTACGAAATATATTATTACACTCTTCTTAGTTAGAATCAATTATTTACTGATTATGCATTTTTTACATTTCATTATAAAAACCAGTTAGCATCAACGTTATCAGAGCCAATAAACTTCAACAAACTATCAAGACCATAATAGGTATTATCAAATGTGATATTTAAGAACACTTTTAGTGCTGTATATTGTGAGACAAAAAGAGAATGATACATGATCAAATGTAGGCTACATTACAGTTGAAAGCACTAATATCTCTCGGAACATGAGGCTGTTGAGCACAGCCATTAGATATTTTGGTGAAAGTTTAAGGTTGAAAAATGAGTGAATATAAAAAATGTGTTAATATGTTGTGAACACGTATAACAAACCCATTAACATTCTGAAATGTGTAGACAAAATTATGCTGAATAAAATGCGTGGAGTAATATAATTTCATGAAAATATGAGGTAATATCAAAGTAAGAATATATGTTGTATCAGTAAGTTGTTTAAAAAATATAAAGTAGTACACAATTGAAATAAGTACGCAGACCTTATAAGCGTATTTTGCGCATTGCACCAGAAATATTATGTTAGGATGCACGTAAAAATGCTACATATTTATTCTTTTTGCGTCCAACGTTTTCGGAAACCTGTTGGCATTCCCTGCACATCTAGATCTGGTTTCTTTTGTGAAAAGATTTGTTACATACACTTTACCATCGTACAGGTTTTTTTTATTTCACAAAAGTTGTATATGTTAATAATGTTTGTGGTTTACCCCAGATATTGAACGAAAACATTAAGTTCTGTAACATAGGTAAATTACATTTCATCATGACTTTAGAAAAAATTGAAATGTTAATATCATGTAGTAGACTGTAATAGAAAACGATTTACATATGCAAATAATCAATAATAAATTATAGAAAACTAGCCCAAAACCAGATCATGATATCTCAATGGACCAACTAACCTAGATCTTTATGTCCTCGTGGGTTTCACGTGAACAAAATTCGCGAATGGTGAAAGGCCGCGCCCCCTCCCCACCCTGACCGCCTAAAGCCCTAAGTATATATACCGGCCGGTGTTAGCAGGGTGTCATACGGTACTGCACAACTGTGATCATGGCTTTCAAGGTGGGTGAACAGTGCTTGTGGAGTGATTATCAGTGAACAGTGTGTTAGTTTAAGCGCGACGTAAAGGATACGAAGTGTAGCTTAAGTATTATCAGATTAAGTAAACTAGGTCTATATTTATTTGGAGTAAGTAAAGTTTTGAAGGGTTTTAATATTTTTGTTTCTGTCATTTTATTTAATCACAAAGAAACAGTTTTTAGAGGTTTTAAATTCTTACCAAATGTAAAGATACCGATATGCGTCCAGTACGATGGCGTGTTCTTTCTTACAATTATAAATTTGTTTAATAAACCCCTATCGGTGTCAATGTCAAATGTCAAAAACAAATCTGGTTTGTAAAAAAATAGGGGAAGTAAATAAAAGAAACGCCTTATAACACTTAAAACATATATTTATGCTTTTACTGTTAATCACAAAGATTATATAAAAATACTTTTACATAAACCTTTTTAAACCAGTATGCTTAGTACAAATGCTTAGTAACTACAATACATAAACTATTTTGGCCCAGTACACAATCCATTACCAACAATTATTATTATCATTATTAAATTACAACTGATGACTGAGTAAGATAATATGAACATGTTCTTACCTCAGGTTCTTCCTTTTTGTTTTTAACTAGTCTTTATCAATAAAGATCAAGTACAAAGTTTTTGAAAGTCATAAAACAATAATTATAATAAATTCACAATAAAATTATACTCTGTACAACTTTTATCGTGAATTTATATAATGTTTTTCATAATGTTTTTTTTTTATTTCGTTATTTTAATAAGATACATACGGCATACGTTTTCTTTTAAAAATCGCTCGCACGATACAATATTCAATTAGCCTTCGAAGTCATAGAGCTAACAATTAAGAACTGATTCAGACACTATCAAATGTGTATGCTAAGGAAATGTGGGCTCAAACGATTACCAAGCTATTTTAGCTAATCGAGAGACAATTACACACAGGTCGTCAGCTAAAACGAGTACGCAAAGAATAATACGCATCCCCGGGGTGTAGCACTAGGGCTATAAATAAATTTCATAGTTTGCGGACATAATATCGCATGAGTTGATGTAGTCTAAAAGAGATAGCGAAAAACAATAGAAATGAGAGTAATATAAATACAGTAGTAAACAATTTTGATATTGAGTTATTACATAAGGGAACACGATGGGCATTTATAATATTTGAACAAAATAACCCTCAGAAAAGGGTTAGACGTTGTATTAAGTCAAATGGTATGAGTGCAAATGGTAAAAAATGTATGCATTTTTAACAATAATATTTAATTAGTAGTTTAACAAAATTCAAATATATGATTACAATCAGAATATTTCTCAGATCTCGCGAGGCCACGTTCAACTAACTCTGTTCAAAGTGATTAAATATATATATTGCACACCAAGACAAACTAATAAATTTGCAAAATGTTCAATTTTTTTACCCTAGTCTTGTTTTCATTTTCAGATCTTCGCCGCCGCTTGCCTGCTGGCTGTTGCCGCTGCTGCCCCGCAGTACGCACCCAAGCCTTACGCCCCAGCCCCAGCTCCCTACGCACCTGCCCCCTACGCCCCCAAGCCCTACGCACCCAAGTACCCCGAGCCTGAGCCCGCCTACCCCAAGTACGCCTTCGAGTACGCCGTCCATGACGACAGCACCTACGACATCAAGAGCCAGAAGGAGGAGCGCGACGGAGACTACGTCAAGGGAGTCTACGAGCTGTACGAGCCCGACGGCACCAAGAGGATCGTCACCTACGCCGACAACGGATACGGTTTCGAGGCTGTTGTCACCAAGGAACCCGCCAAGGGCTACGCTCCCGCTCCAGCTTACGCCCCCAAGCCCGCTTACGCCCCAGCACCCGCCTACGCCCCAGCTCCTGCCTACCCCGCACCCAAGCCCTACGCTCCCGCACCAGCGTACCCTAAGCCCGCCTACCCCGCACCTGCGCCTTACAAGAAGTACTAAGGACTATAGAATATTTAAATTCTCCATCTTCATCTATTTGTAAATATGACATCTCATTAGTTGTATATTTTTATACCTGCCAAATAAAAAGAGAAAACCTTAAAATATCTATTTTTCTCCTTTTGTTTATTCACATCTTTTCTTATCTGGGGAACCATGCCAAACGGGTAATATTAAAAAGCTTAAGATTAACAATAATCATGATTCTTTACAAGTAAGGCCTGAAAAATGTATTATATTGAAGAACAATGCTTAATAAGCAGGTTTGTCTAACTGTGTTTACCTCTATAATTTGATACGATATACAAGTCACAGTGCAAACTAGTTCTGAGTCAATATTAGTCAAGAAACTAATTGGATAGGTAGCAGTGGCATCACGAGACTAGAGGTGTCATAAGACCAGTGTCGTGTCGTGCAGAGTAGAGTGTGGTAGATTGTTTTTTTGTATTTACGTGGTTGCAGCACTTGTTGAAGAGAAGGTTGTGTAACAGTGGTATGATGGTGGCAATGGGAGTCGTGTGTTTATTTGCTGTTCAGTCTCCATAGAACTGATGTTCAAGATTTTGTAGTTTACCTTTTGAACTAAAATTTGTTAATTGTTGTGCAGCATCTGGACCATGTTGGCCATTCCATCACGACAATCATAAATATTCTAAGCATTACGTACATGAGTTGAAAACAATACGAAATTTGTAGTTTTCCAGGAGAAAGTGTTTTAAGCCATAAAAGGATGCGTTTTTATTAACAAACCACGACCACTATCATTAGCACTACCACAACTTAAATTGTGAAAAACAATTTTTCATGCTCCAGCTTGTATGCAAAGGTACATGGTTTCTAAAAAAATTTTGTAATAGCTACCATAGATTAAAAGAAGTACAATCTATATTTATTGTTGATTCTCACAGGGCTCTTGTAACATTCCGATACGTACAATCTTAAGATGTAATCACAACACACAAATTTTGATAACAGTGGACATATTTAAACTAGTTAAAACTGGAATTTAGGTCAATGAAATATTATTTGATGACATTTATCATTATCACAGTTATTAAGAGAGTTTGGAAAGCAAATTATGTTCAGAAACACCACAACAGACAGGAATTTAATTTTTAACGTAACTTAAAAAGGTTTATATCGAATGAGAAAAAGGGCTTTTATGGAAGTGAGTAACTATCCTCGCAAACCCTACAATATCACAGCAAAAAATTATACAAAAATTATTTTCCTTGAAAATTCAGTAGGATAGAGTTTATGTATAATGGTTAAAAGACACTGAAATTATTTTTAATTTCTCCCCTTATACATTCGTGTTCGAGTTTTGAGTGGATGTATCCGTTTTGGGTCCCCCTGAACCAAAAAAAGTGGTTATCGAAGTCTGTCTGTGTGTGTGTGTGTGTGTGTGTGTAAATGTGCACTGAGCTACAGACCACACCTGTCATCCGATTTTTATATAATCTTTGTGAATAAATATATGAATATATAAATATATAAACCACATATAAATAAGTGTGACAACATCCATGTTCAAGTTAATCGCTGAATCCTAACTAATCCATATATCTTATTGTGCGAGACTTCGGACCCTGAGGCCCTGGGTTCAAATCCCGCAAAATCACTAATGGAATTTCTCTAAGTGATAATGCCACAACCCCTAAGTCTAGCCTAAAGTAATGTGAAAAACAATTCCGGGCTAGTGTCCTAGGACAAAAATATTTTTAAAAATGTGCCTAAGGGTGTTGTTCAAATATTTTTACTACGAAATCTGTCTAACTCGACTTTGCATCTGTCAAAATAAATAACACTTTCTTAAAGATAAGGGTATTTTTCAAACAAAGTACTTAATTTGTAGTTGTTTTATTAATTTTGAGTCCGTACATTTTGAGTGTCATGTTAAGCTTGTCCAAACACATTCAACAACTTTCCTCTTGATTGGAACAAAATCTAGCCTTATAGTTTCAAATTTATCAATTTAAAATATAGATTGTAACGTAGCTTATCAATACAATTGTGTATCAAATTACAATTGTGTTGTTAACTTGTAGTTAACACATTCTCAAACACGTTCTTACTGAAACGAATTAGCATTCATAACTGCGAGGAGGATCAACATTATAATAGATCTGCAGCTTTGTAATAGATCTGAAACATTATAATGGTGCTTAGGGACAAGAGTGTTTAAAACACGTGGGTGTTTTAAAATCACAAATAAGAAGGAATTTACGTTATAAATTTAAAAATAAATATGATAATTTAATTGCATTGATAAAATGTTGAAACAGTACCAATTTCACGATAGTATATACGTGTGAAAATGCGTTTAAAACTGCATTGTTGTCTTTATATCAATAAACTGGCAGAACAACACCTCAATTTCCTTTAAATAAATAAAAAATGGAAAGACCGAATCCTAAATGACTTTAAAAGGTTATTTACTTTTTCATCGCATTGGTATGGGAAATTCTTAAATTAAACAATCATTTTTCCTTTGTATTTTTACGTGACTGAAAGTACTAGTCTGGTTCATAATAGGCAAGATAGTTTATGGATATGCGTTAGAACTTGCTATAAAATATATTCGGTATTTTAGTACAACCTCAACATTTTTTCAAACCCCTACACAATCGCATGTGTGCAAGGGTACATTAAATGTATTTCTATTTCCAAAACCTTTTTACAGACTTAACTTAAAGCTTTATCGTGTTAAACTCTACCCATCGCAAGAAAATCCAAAAAATTGGGTTTCTAGTGACAGGTGGATTAGTTAAGTGATTAATGCCACTTCACCTGGTCGTGTTGGTGGCGCGTGGTTTCCTGCGCAGCCGGTTCTAGGCCGCACGTGCCTCATTGGCTCTATAAACCGCATTTTTACGAAGGACGAACACCAATCGTTTTGCAGACTAGAATTGGTTGAATCAAATACTGCTTTTAACACCAACAGCTGAAAACGAGGTTTTGCAAAATCGAGAATTTTTTAAGGTTTGAAATCTGTTAAAAGCTTAAGATCTATACAAGCTCGTTGCCTGAAATCTACTATTTTCACCACACTTTTACATAAACCAGAAGTACTATAAGTTATAAAGACATTTTCTTTGGTTTAATTTCGTACAGCCCAGCTAACCGTAAACCAACTGAACACAACGGGGGTGTTTTCGTAATGTTAAACTTTAAAACATGTAAACTGTGACAAATTCAACTAGGAAAATCTTTAAATAAGCTTTATTGCATATTGCCGTTAAGTTTAGTAAGCAAACACAACAACGCAAGTAATTTAATTACGTACAATCTGTGGTTGAAACCTTCAGAGATTGGTATGGGTTGTGGTTGGAGTGAATAACTAAGTTAAAAAAAAAAAAAAAAAAAAAAAAAAAAAAAAAAAAACTGATAAGTAAACCTGAATTGAGAAGTGGTTGTTGCTTTGGGCCAGCAAGGCACCGAGTAATAGGGGCACAAGTTCTCTAAATGTTTCAACTAAAGTTTCAAGGCGATGCAAATATTACATTGAGTCATATCCAGGACAAAATAAAGAATATTATAATGTTTCTATTCCAATGTTGTTAATATTACCTACAAGGTAAGTAAGTAACACAAGTATGTTGCAAATGTGATATCTTTAGTATTTGTCTGAGACATAGCCGAATGACATTTCGACCTAATAAAAATATTTTTATCGAATAGTATTCTCAGCGGGAACAACAAGAAGTAGGCCTACATACCAATGTGTATATTTTATGTTTATTTTTACTTCCTAAATGTAAAAATGGACAGCTATTCGTAATAACTGATTGGACAAAGCTGATATTATAAAATAGCATATCTATCTGCCTGTCTTTATATGCATATCTGTCAGTACTTCTTCTCTCGAAAAATTGAATTCACTTAATATTTTCAGAAAAAGGTCTACAACCTTATCCGAACATTCTCTATCGCAGGTTTACATCTACAATTAAGGGATAGTCTTTTGTGATTACCAAGGTCAATTAATTGATTGGTCTCAAAGGAAATAATGAATTTGGCAAGTTTTACTCCTTAAACGTTGCCTATTCCACAAAACCTATCCATCCGGTCGAGACGCACTATTGCCCATACTGCAGTTACAGTTTTTCAATCGTTTTCAATGTATCGTTTTACCGTCTCAGTGTCCATCAATGTCGTGTTCGTGTGTATTTATCTATGGCATTTGTGTTTATTGACGACCTTCTGATGAAGTGGTCGTATGTTTTAACATGACATCCTTGACGCCTGGTGATGACTTGGTAATAAGTAAAAAAAAAGTTGCGACCCTAGCAGCATTTTGGATTACAATGACGCAGGTATTTACAACAATTATCAACGTAATCCGGAGACTTGCATCAAAAATGGAACTTAAAATTTGAAAGGTTAAGCAGTGTCATAAATTCGAAGTTAAATGTTTATAATTCGTCTTTATGCAACAGTAAGTAAACACTCTTTTTAAAAAGTCATAACTTGCGATTGCATGTTTGCATTTCAAAGAAAACTTGCTTCCTTGTTCTATTTTTTTTACTTTCATCATTTTTATAGCGTAAGAACTTTTAATTTCCTAGCTATATAAATAGAGCAAAGTTCAAGAGGCAGCTTATAAAACATCGAAAATTTAAGTTAATTGATATTTTTTAGGTAATAGGATTTGGAAAATAAATGGAACTATTGTGCTATTTAGTAAATGTTTTCACCTTATCTTAAACCTTATGGTATGGACATGTATTTATGCTCGACATATGTATAAGCATTGAGTTCTACTCAACGGTATAACACATTGTGGTTAATCATTTCAGCATTAGATTCAAACCAGCGTGTCGTCCAATCTGTCGAATCAACACAAACACCTAAGATTTGCAACTTTATAAAGATTCAGAGTAGCAAACTATTGTGTTGGCAGTGTTGGCTCATTCACATTTCTATGTAATTTAATACATTTTCATGTATTTTTCATTAATTTAATCGGATGAATTTAAAAAATTAGGAATGTACGAAATTTGGAACTAAGAATGTGCAAAATTTTCAGCAATAAATGGTAATGGGCTAGAAACATGTCAAGTCAATAGATTTAACAATTTTGGCATCATAGAGACTTTCATAAGCAAATAAAAATTTAATGATGGATAAAGGCGTCTAGGCTACTTAAAATATTAATTATTTCATTCAAATTTTAGACTAATCTTTGCAACGGAACAACAATAATGTTTATAGAAGCATATAGGCAGCTTGACATTTCTGAAATACAACAATTATTTCAACTGCGCCTTCTGGAGAACCTTCGAAAGTGAAACTAACTGATTATGCACAAAAGACCACGAGTTGACAAATCTAGTTCAAATGTTTTAAAACTTCTACTAACCCGGTTTCTACTGTCCACACAGCCTTTGCGCACCACGTGGAGAAAATTCGCATGTTTAGAAAGGCGCCCCTCCCCACCCTTGCTAGCTAAAGTTTCAAGTATATATACCGGCCGGTGTTAGCAGGGTGTCATACGGTACTGCACAACTGTGATCATGGCTTTCAAGGTGGGTGAAGTGCTTGTGGAGTGATTATCAGTGTGGATAGTGTTTAAGTAACAGTGTGTGATATCAGTGAAAAAGTGTTACATTCCTTATTTACCATTTATTTTTGAAATTATTACTAAGTGATTTGTAAAACTAAATGTTGAGAAGGCTAAAATTTTAGGATTGTTAATAATTCTCGCAAATTTCTGTATGTGTACAGTATGTTAATTCGTGAAATTTCCTGAAGGGTAAAGCAGGAAAAAATTGTTAACAGACAAAGCATTTACTTGAACTATAAAATTTATTTAGTATCGAATAGTAAAAGATAGTTAGGATTGTAAATAAATTAGTTTTTCATATTGGTCATTCATAAAAGTCACCGAATAAACTATATATAACTGATAAACTACTGGAAAAAATGAATCAAACACCTGAACCCTTCGGTTGTGTAACTTGATACGAGCTTTCAATAATTAACTAACTCTATAAACAACGTTGCATCACACTGATGATTTTATTAAGTGGACCTTTGGTATTAATCAACATGATAATCAAATACAACAAATGAAAAATTAACTTTGGAATATAAAATATTTTTTGGGGGGTATGTTATTTAGAGTTATTATAAGCGTTATTATAAGTATCTCGATATCTTTACTCTATGTAGTATACATTATGTTATAAAAATGGGCAACCAGTATTATCAAAACATGTTTTCAAATAAAACGGCTATTTTTTATGTTTGGTCACAGGGTATTGAAGGAAAATGTCTGAAGAGGGTTTACCGTACATATTATATGCTAATGGCCTGTACCGTACTGCACTTATTTAATACACAGAAAATATTAAATTTCGCATCTACAATCTTAAGGATCAATTGCAATGATTATGTTATCACCTAGGGTGTTGTTTCTTCAAACACACTAAAAAATGAAAATGTAAAATAGGGCTACACTAAAAGATATTTGCTAAGTTCCTCCCCTATTTTATTTAGCTCAACATTTATAGATACATTAAATAACACCATTAACAAATAAAATATATCAAAGTAAAGATGAGGTTTACCAATTAAATGTTAAGAAGTACAAGTAATATCAGGAGATAACAAAATCACTATCCAGAGACATAGAACAAATAGTTCTAGAAAAGTTTTTTTTATTATATTTCATATTGAACCAACAAAATGAGCTTACATTTAGGCTTGCAACCTACTATAAATCACAAAAATCAAACATTTTACTCTTAAAAAAAACGGAAGAAACGGAATTAATATATATAGATTAGTAAGAAAAAGTACTTTTCAAACCGAGGATATCACTATTTGTGATAGTGCACTCTAAATAGCTTGAAACAAATAAATAATTTATAAATATTTATTTCCAGGTTTTCGTCGCCGCTTGTCTGCTGGCTGTTGCCGCTGCTGCCCCGCAGTACGCATACAAATCCTACGCCCCTGCGCCTGCTCCGTACGAACCGAAACCCGCCCCCTACGAGCCCAAGCAGTACGAGCCCAAGCCGTACGAGCCCAAGCCGTACGCCCCAAAGCCCTACGCACCCAAATACGAAGAGCCTGAGCCCGCCTACCCCAAGTACGCCTTTGAGTACTCCGTCCATGACGACAGCACCTACGACATCAAGAGCCAGAAGGAGGAGCGCGACGGAGACGTTGTCAAGGGATACTACGAGCTGTACGAGCCTGACGGCTCCAAGAGGATCGTCACCTACTCCGACGAAGGTCATGGCTTCCAGGCTGTCGTGACCAAGGAGCCCGCCAAGGGATACGCCGCCGCCCCTGCGTACCCTAAGCCATCCTACCCTGCTCCTGCACCATACAAGAAGTACTGATTGGTCCCATACGTCGACTACACCCATTGTTACCATTCTGTATATACTACATTTCATTAGTTGTTATTTTTTATACTTGCCAAATAAACAGAAAACGTTCTTATATGTTATCTAAGTTGATTTATTCCTATCAACTATCAAACGACATTATTTATGGTACTTATTTAATAAATTTAGAGCTGACTAATTTAGTAAAGTAATGATTTAATCTCAATACTGTACTTTTTAAATATAAGCTACTCAACCTCTTTTAAATGGAAAGGGTGTTAAGTTTTATGGGCAGTACTGCATTCCTAAAGACTTTAGTGAAAAAATGGTTTTTTAACACGGTGCTGAAAAGAACAGTTTAATTTTCATGAATTTTCCACAGTAAGATTTTATAAAATACTAATTATTGTGTTGTTGAGACGTTATAGACTTTCAAATGGAAATATTATTGCTTCTAACGTCGACTCCCTTAGTGATAGCTTGCTTGTTCTACAGGAAAGCTTTAAGTCAAACAATGTCCAGGATTAAATTATTATGAAAAGCTCCATTGAAGGAATGATATATCAATTATCAATCATTGAGATGGGGTCGTCTAGGTGCGTATCTCAAGTACGAGTGTAGGATGAGTGTTGGGTTGAGTGTAGAATGTTGTGAGATCCGAGTAGCTTTGTTACTGACTAAGAACAGCTGTATTATCAGTCAGGATCATTTATTTAAAGCCATAATTTATTTCGAACCACCAAAAAGCTATCACATTTCTCAGGATCGAACCGGCGACCTTTTGATTGATGACGAGCACTATAACCACTCGGCTACCCATCAATAAATGTAAACTATACCACATTGTAGTAAAATTTGTGTGAACATTAAACTGTTGTGATTCATGAAGATATTAGTAATGCTGGTACGGAGTATGATAATTAATATCTAAATTTTCTTTAAAACAGCATTCTAAAGCAGGCACGATGACTTTTAAGGACTGATTAGGACTACAGTTCATGACTTATATTGAGAAAGATCATATTGAGATGTGCTAATTGATTAATGACGTATGAATATGGTTAGAATGTATTTCGCACCAAATTTACAACTACAAATATATATGATGTTGACTATTTTATGAAGTGTCGGATTTATAGCATCAGGCTTAGTACTACCCGTATTTTAATTTCGCCAGAAATCCTTACAATTCATAGGTGAATATACTGTAATTCTGTAAACTAGGTTGCTTGGGGGTGAACACTAAAATTAAGGCATTACAGTGTCCAGTTCATTGGAAATATTAATATTCAACAACGGTACAAAGGCATGATAAACTTTAAATGTAAACATAATAACCTTTAATACCATCTTTCATTTTTAAATAACTGTTATATAGTATTTGTTGAACGGAGCGAGCTAAGCTCTTATACCTATAATAATTAATTCCTATAATAGTTTTGCCTGCATATATGAAAAATGCGCACTAAATATGCAAACCAACTGCTGTTCTGGTTATAAGAAGGTTTCAACTGACTACAAGATACTCGTCCATAGAACAAACAGCTAGTTACAAATAAATACAACAAAAGGGAGAACAATCGGATTAATGTAGTTGAGTAACGATTGAAATTGGAATTTATTACAAAATGAATGACCAATAATTAAGATGTATACCAATAATTAGCCGGAGTTGGCTAATTCACCATTAGCACTTCAAATAACGCACTTTAGACACTCCAATTAGCCATTCAATTAATGTAAACCAAATGCATGAAGACAATTCATTTACATAAACCAAATGCAGCATTGAGTTTGAATACTATGAGTAGACATTTCATTTACGTAAAGCAGAATTACCAAACTTAATACTGCAAATAAACATTCTATTTATGTGAACCAAGTATTCAAGCAGAGATCTGCAAGAATATAAACAGATTATGTGAATCAGATGTACCATTGACTTTGGATACTGTGAGGAGACATCTCATTTACGTAAAATAGAGTTAGCATTGACTGCAATTATACATCTTATGTACGTTAACCGGATGTAGCATTGACTTTGGAAAGGAATTAGAATACTAGCTCCGCTTATTATTGCAAGTAGATAACTGCATTGTACATCAAATTGTTATATTCGTTATAATATACATATATAATAATATTGTTAATTTTATTGTTTAGTTTTATTATTTTGAATTTGTACACACTTAACCCTGATACGAATAGTTTCTAGTGTTTCGTGTTTTAAGGTTATTACTAGGTTGCAGCTAAATTCTTATTACATAAAAAAATACCATTCTAAGTAGGTTTTCGAGTCACTTTTAAATTAAAATAAAAATATTACAGGCTTCCAGTAATAAGTACACAGCTTAAGCTAAGTTATAGGCTGGGTGTAAGATATGTAGGCATTTCGATCTCTTTAGATTGAGAGGGATTAAATTAAAATAGTCATTACTCCAAATCTCTAACTATTTACTTTATTCATGGGCTGTTGCGCTTTTGTGAGAGAATTGTATTCTGCAAAAATATCTTAAAAACAAAGGGAAGTGTCCTGCTCACAGTAAAATTAGTCATTCGTTCACTTTTATGGTCATCTTTAGTGTAAGCCAGGGAATTTGAGATGCTAACTACTACCCTAGTCATTACCCATGTTATTACAAATATATCACAGCTGAAAGAAGAAAGAAATCACGATGTAGGCGCTGAAATTCAGTCCTAATCAGTTGTTACCTATTTATTTGTATTTTACTGATGCGGGAACTATAAGAATACGCATTGTAAGAACGATAGGATGTTTTTGATTGATGATTTATTTTAAATTACTATAGGAATTATTAGTGTCATGTAAATTTCATTTAGTAAATCCACGATTTACTTTACATGTAGTAGAATTTAAAACGTTTAACTTAACTTAGAATCTGTTAAACACCTAACAATTGTTCATAATTATAACATAATTATTGTTACCTTTGTACATGTACTTGTACTTGTTATTACAGTACTTAGAATCAAATAAAGAAGTGGATTGAATTAGAACACAAGTTTAAGATTTAATTTATATTTGGATAGTAAAAAAATAAAAACTAATGAGATGTCATATATACATGATGGTTAAAATGGATATAGGAGATCAATTGGTGTATTCAGTACTTCTTGTATGGCACAAGAGATGGGTGTGATAGCTTGAGGTACACTGGAGCGGGCGCTGGAGCTTCAACTGGCTTAGAGGCGTACGCTGGGGCAGGGGAGTAGCCCTTGGCAGACTCCTTGGTCACGACAGCCTGGAAACCGTGACCTTCGTCGGAGTATGTGACGATCCTCTTGGAGCCATCAGGTTCTACCAGCTCGTAAACTCCCTTGACGACGTCTCCGTCGCGCTCCTCCTTCTGGCTCTTGATGTCGTAGGTGTGAGGGTCGTTGACGGAGTACTCAAAAGCATATTTGGGGTACGCTGGCTCAGGCTCTTCGTAACTGGGGGAATAGGCTTTAGGAGCGTTAGGTTTAGTTTCTTCAGATGATGGGCTGTAGGGCGTTGGCTCTTCAGAAACTTGAGCAATTGGCTTTGGCTCTTCCGAAGGTCGAGCAAATGACTGTTGCTCTTCGGAAGATTGGGCTAAAGGCTTTGACTCTCTGGAAAATTGAGCAAAGGGTTTCAACTCTGCGGAAGCTTGAGCGGATGGATTTGGCTCTTCGGAACCTTTGGCGAAGGGCTTTGACTCTCCGAAAGCTTGAGAGAATGGTTTGAACTCTAGGGAAGCTTGAGAGAAGGGCTTCGGCTGCCAAAACGCTTGGGCGAAGGGCTTTGACTCTCCAAAAGATTGACCCAAAGTTTTCGACTCTCCGAAAGCTTGAGCGAATGGCTTTGGCTCTTCAGAACTTTGGGCGAAGGGCTTTGGCTCTCTGAAAGATTGAGCGAATGGCTGTGGCTCTTCGGAAGCTTGAGTAAATGGCTGTGGCTCTTCGAAAGCTTGGGGTAAGGATTTGGACTCTTCGGAAGCTTCAGCGATAGGCTTTGGTTCTCCGGATGCTTGTGCGTAGATTTTCTGTCCGAATGAAGCAGGTTCGGAAGCAATCCACCTGTAAGAGTACTGCGGAGCAGCAGTGGCAACAGCCAGCAGCATAGCGGCGGCCAAAATCTATAAGACGCACAATAAAAATAATAAATATATACTTTCATAATAACATTATTTGATTAAGCGAATAACTAAATTAATTATTGTAACTGTCTTTTTTAAATCCGAGTTTTTGTGTGGAACAGAATTATGCTGGATAAACAAATTATTTCATTTGTGTTGTATGTGAAAAATACTTCTAAATTATTTGATTCATGTTATATACCATACACAAGTTCTATATCACGTTTCGGTTATTCTGTTTTTTATATTACAGCTTATTGCTTCTATAACTTAGAAAGTCCTTACGAATTGTGCATTGTGTCAGCACAAAGATTTTCTCCTATATGAAAAAATATTCAAAACGTCAAAACAAAAATGTTGTTCTAAATGAAAATGTATCCGTAAAGGATAAAGGGTAAAAGGTAAAAGGTAAAAGGGTAAAGGGATAAACACAGACAGACATATACCCATTAAGGCATTAAACTAGACACCCAAACTAGACACTTAAACTCCAAAGTTTACAATTTGCTTGACAAGTAATAAAAGGAGTGCCACTTTTGAAAACTTTCCCTATCTAACTAAAAAAAATATTTATTTCTATAAACTGTAATAAGGGAGTAAAACAAACCTTAAGTGTTCTGAAAGCTAGTTGTTAAGTTAAAATTTTATTTTTGTCGCAAAAGGTTTAATAAAAATTTAAATTATTTTTAACCATTTTGGATGATACTCGTGTTCAATAATTTGAAAACCTACTTCTTAAGTTCAAGCATTTTTATGATTCATTGGAGCCTTTATAAATAGTTACGGTGTGTTCAATTTTGTTAATCTTACAATGTAAAACTTAATTTATGTTAGTTAAGGTAATTTTACAATTAACCCTTGTTAAAAAGTTAGGAAATTCAAAAACACTTATAATCCAGGCAACCTTATCTATCATGAGATTTAGATCATGAGGGTGGAAAGAAATTGTTAGGCAGTATAAATATTCCATAGCTTATGTCAAATCACTTTGAACTAAGCTTAAACTAGTTTCTTTACTCGTGCATTGCGACTATTTTTGAGTTAGAAAAAGTTAATTCCCCAAAGCTAATTAAAAAAAGAAATGCCGTATCAACAGTAATCATAGAAAAAATGTCATTTTTAAAACAATGGTAATATCCAAGGATAAATAATCGTAAGTTATCCAAATTTTTTACACTTGCGAAGTACGTTTTACGGATGCACTGATGCGTGTACATCTAGTATAAATAAATAACAAATTTCATGTGTAATATTTACTTGCTGAATCGCACTAAATTAAACTTAAGTTAAGTTAAGCTTAATGGTTTATGCAAAAAATTACAAATGTTGGCTATAGTATTTTTAAAGAAAAATTGCGTTTCTAAAAACTGTTGCCCAAAATTTAAATTACGACTTCGACATTCCCCCCTTTTCAAAATAGTTTTCGTTCAAAATGAGGCTCATGAAAATTAGTAAAAGCCTTGATTCAGAATCGTTGGGGGAAAAATCCGATCACATTTTATTATTTATCCACGAAAGATTTTTAATATCTATAATTAAATTGAATACAACAATATTAAATTTATAAGTTTTTTTTTATAAAGATATGATTCTGAGAAAGAATCACACTTTCAAACTACCCCAGCACAGAATTTAAACACAAAGATATCACAAATCCGATACACTAGACACTATTCACACTGATAATCACTCCACAAGCACTTCACCCACCTTGAAAGCCATGATCACAGTTGTGCAGTACCGTATGACACCCTGCTAACACTGGCCGGTATATATACTAAGATCTTAAGATACCCAAAGAGGGGAGTCAGGCGTTCCCGGTTTTCGGATTTGATCCACGTGTCTCACATCAGTGCCAGGACAACTCTATAAAGTAAACGGTCATTTACACTCAGACACTGCCTACATCTTATATGCTAATAGCATGTACTGTGTACTGTACTGTACTTATTGATTCCGCAGCATATTTTAAATTTTGCATCTACAATCTTAACGATCAATTGCAATGATGATTTTATCATCTAGGGTGTTGTTCCTTTAAATGCACTTGGTTCAACAACAATATGAAATAGAGATACACTAAAAAATGTTTGCTCAGTTCCTCCACTATTTTATTTACTTCAACATTTATGGATTCATTAAATGAAAACATTAAAAACTAAAATATATCAAAGTAAACATGAGGTTTACCAATTAAGTGTTAGGAAGTACATGTAATATCAGGAAATGATAAAATTACTAACCAGAGCGAAAGATAAAAAAGTTCTAGAACACTTTTAATAAAAATTATATTTCATATTGAACCAACAAAATTAGCTTACATTTAAGCTTGCAACCTACTATAAATCACAAAAATCGAACATTTGACTCCGTGTATTCAAATTAATATCCGTTGTTTATTGTATAATTAAGAAACGGAAAAATATATATTATAGATTAGTAATAAAAAGTAATTTTCAAACCGAGGATATCACTATTCGTGATGATATAATAGTTCACTCTAAATCTGTACTTTTTAAATGTGAGCTACCCAACCTATTAGAGATGGAAATGTCGTAATGTTTAACGGGCAGTATTGCATACCTAAAGACTTTATACTGAAAAAAAATATTCTTTAACACGGTGCTAGAAAGAACTGTTTAATTTTCATAAATTTTCCAGACTAAGATTTTATGAAGTACGAACTATTGTGTTGTTGAGACATTTTATTAGCGAATTTCCCATATAGGGAATTAGCTATTACCGTAGTACTCATGGTAAGACCTGGACGCGGGACCGATTTTTTTTCGTTTTGAGGTCCCTAGAGGCCAAAAACACCATCCGTTCAAATTCATATATATATATATTTTTCAGTTTAAACGGGTGAATATTAATTTTAAACGTAATTTCGTCTGAGATTATTTGCAAAAAGTTATAGCGACCGTTGAAATCTGGGGTTTTAGGTTCTCGCTGTCATTAAAACTTTTACTGATTTCGTTCATTCCACGTGATCGAGGAGAAAGGTTCGTTAATCAAGTATGATTAAAGTCAGTTTCCTGTGGATAGTTCTCATTTAATAAGGGCTGACAAATAATGATTTTTGTAATTTCCAATTTGTTTTCCATTTCACGAAAAGGTAATACATTTTTAGTTATAACAGTATTTCTGTAAACTTTAGGATTAAATTTTTTTTAAGCTCTAATTTTATATTGCTATACTTAAGACGCCACAGAGAGCGGCAACATGTATTTTTCAAGTGAAGAGACTGGACTCACTAAGTTGTAAATATAATTGTTTATTTTTTGTTTAACGTTTGCCACGATTACTGGATAATGTGGCAACGTAGTTCCAAGTGAATTTATTATTTTGTATTTATTTGTTTTGAAGGAATAAACTCATTATTTCATTATTTCATTATTATTTCATTATTTCATAATTAAATTAAGTTTTAGTTAAAAAAAACCTGGTTGAAGTTCGTTCGCTACGCTCACTCACCTTTAGGCTGGGGCTCGTTCGCTGCGCTCACTTGCCTTCAGGTTAGCTCGTTCGCTACGCTAACTCGCCTCCAGGTTGAAGTTCCTTCGCTACGCTCACTCACCTTTTGGTTGCAAATTAGCTATGTCATAAATAAAAATACCCCCGCCGCAGCAAACCTGCCGACTAAGCGAATTTCCATTCGTCTAAATTGATTTTCAGTTAAATATATTTTAATAACATTAGGTTTAACGAGTACCTAGGTTTGCTGCTACAAGGAAACTAATAAAGTGTGTTTTTGAGTAAAATATTGATAGCTTAGTACAAAATAAATAAATTTGCCAAGTTTGATCAAAATATATCCATAAACAAGCAAACTACAACATTTGACAATATTCTCCATTAGAATAACATGGGAATTTTAAATTTACAATTTTTTAAATTTTCTCCGTTACTAATAATTGAACAAAAATACTTTTATATACCAAATTATTTGTTTTTTTAAGCTCTTTAAAAAGGTCTAAACATAAATCGGGAAATTTTTTGTTTTGAGGGTAAAAAGTGAGAAAACCCAATTTTTACCCCATAAAACCCCCCGTAAAGCCCCGTTCCCATGGTCCGATCGTGCTGGTTCGCGAACTCATTCAAGTTTATCCCGCTTTACACCTATAAACCAAATTTCATCAAAATCGGACCAAAATTACTCAAGCTATCGCGTTCACGGATATATATATGTCTATATATATATATATATATACATATATAAAAATTTGAACGAATGGTGTTTTTGGCCTCTGGAGACATCAAAATGAAAAAGTAAATCGGTCCCGGGTCTAGGTCTTACCGTGCCACCTACGGTAATAGCTACTTCCCTATAGGGAAATTCGCTAAAAAAAAATAATAATAGTGCTGCACCCTGTTGGTAATCCTTGTAACTTTAATGCTATTGAACATCATAACAGAACCAACTCGTTTAATTGAAACAGCTGTTAGGATTCTTTAATTCCATTTAAATATGAGTAGGCCCTACTCATAAGGTTAACATGGGAAACTCCAGAGCCACTGGGGCGGAGCCCGATCAGAATAAAAACTACTTAGTTTTCATATTTAATGCCCAAAGAATCGGTGTACCGAATTTCAGCCTCCTAGGTAAATGGGAAGTAGGAGAATTAGTGATGAGTGAGTGAGCCAGTGAGGGCTTTGCCTTTTATATATATAGATACTAGCTGTACCCACGGGCTTTGCCCCGTTTTACTTAATAAGTGAGCTCGTTCGCATGGCTCAATTACGTCCTGGTTGAAGTTCGTTCGCTACGCTCACTCACCTATTGGTTGGAGCTCGTTCGCTGCGCTCACTTGCCTTCAGGTTAGCTCGTTCGCTACGCTCACTCACCTTTTGGTTGCAAATTAGCTGTAGTCGTAAATTTAAAAAAAATAGTGCTGCACCCTGTTGGTAATCCTTGTAACTTAAATGCTATTGCACATCATAGAAAAGAACCAACTTGTTTAATTGAAACAGCTGTTAATATTCATTAATTCCATTTAAGTATGAGTACTCATAAGGTTAACATGGGAAACTCCAGAGCCACTGGGGCGGAGCCCGAGAGTCCGATCAGAATAAAAATAGCTTAGTTTTCCTATTTAATGCCTTAAGAATCAGTGTACCAAATTTCAGCGTCCTAGGTAAATGGGAAGTGGGAGAATTAGTGATGAGTGAGTGAGTGAGTGTGTCAGTGAGGGCTTTGCCTTTTATATATTTAGAAGATATATTATGTGTGATAGAAAAGTCCCGGAACGGTTAAATATTTTAAAAAATAATGCAGATAGAGCTAAAATACTTGGTACAAAGTTACAGGGCATAAAACTCTAATTTAACACATATTCAGTGATCCAATAACTCTTCAGGGGGACGGCCCACAAGGAGTCGGAAGAAAATCTTAAATGGAAGCATAGGTCAATATGCTCATCAAATTAAAGGTCTTTTTTAGTAGAATACAATGCCGCAAACCACACTTCAAAAGGTTGATCCTGCGCAAAATAACAGTTGTTCAAAGATTCATTTAATTTACATTGCTATTATACGCTTTCTCCTCAGGGGGCACAGCCCTAGGAATCGGAAGAAAATTGTTAACGTAAGAATAGGTCGATATGCACATCAAATTAAAGGTCTTCACTTTTAGATTACGATGCCGTAAATTCAAACTTAAAAGAATGCCTGAGTAAAAAATGGCAGTCTTTCAAAGATTCAAAATGGCGGATTAAAGAAATCTTTGAACATCTGCCATTTTGCGCAGGATCAACCTTTTGAAGTGCGGTTTGCGGCATTGTATTCTACTACAAAAGACCTTCAATTTGATGAGCATATTGACCGATGCTTCCATTTAAGATTTTCTTCCGACTCCTTGTGGGACGTCCTCCTGAAGAATTATTGGATCGCTGAATACGTGTTAAAATAGAGTTTTATGCCCTGTAACTTTGTACCAAGTATTTTAGCTCTATTTGCATTATTTTTTTAAATATTTAACCGTTTCGGGACTTTTCTATCACACTGTATATATGTGTGTGTCCGTTAGCACGATAACTCGAGCAAAAATGATCCGATTTTGATTAAATTTGGTACAAACGTGTAAACCTACGTTTATTCGAACGAGTTCGCGATCCAGCATGATCGGACCATGGGAACGGGGGTTTACGAGGGTTTTTATGGGGTAAAAATAGGTTTTTCCCATTTTGACCCACAAAACATAAAATTTAGCAATTTCTTTCCAAACCATTTTGTAGAGCTTAAAAAACAAATAATTTAGTATATTGAAGCGTTATTATGCGCCTAATGGTTACGGAGAAAATTCCAAAAAAATTTAAATCTAAAATTCCCATGTTATTCTTATGGAGAATAAGTTAACTTTTGTAGTTTGCTTGTTTATGAACATATTTTGATCAAATTTAGAAAATGTTTTTATTTCTTACTAACTATTAACATTTTACAAAAACAACAGTTTAATCTCCCTGATGCAGCAAACATAAGTACTTATTAAACTAATTCTATTTAAATTGGGAATAAATGTTATATTTTTAAGTATAAATTTCAGTGTAAATCAAATCAGTCAAATGGAAATTCGCTTAGTCTGCAGGTTTGCTGTGGCGGAGGTATTTAGACTATCAAAACGAAGTATTGTTGATTCTAACGTCTAATGTCGACTCTTTTAGTGATAGCTTGCTTGTTCTACAGGAAAGCTTTAAGTCAAACAATGTCCAGGATTAAATTATTATGAAAAGCTCCATTGAAGGAATGATATATCAATTATCAATCATTGAGATGGGGTCGTCTAGGTGCGTATCTCAAGTACGAGTGTAGGATGAGTGTTGGGTTGAGTGTAGAATGTTGTGAGATCCGAGTAGCTTTGTTACTGACTAAGAACAGCTGTATTATCAGTCAGGATCATTTATTTAAAGCCATAATTTATTTTGAACCACCAAAAAGCTATCACTTTTCTCAGGATCGAGCCGATGACCTTTTGGTTGATGACGAGCACTATAACCACTCGGCTACCCAGCAATAAATGTAAGCTATACCACATTGTAGTAAAATTTGTGTGAACATTAAACTGTTGTGATTCATGAAGATATTAGTAATGCTGGTACGGAGTATGATAATTAATATCTAAATGTTCTTTTAAAAAGCATTCTAAAGCAGGCACGATGACTTTTAAGGACTGATTAGGACTACAGTTCGTGACTTATATTGAGAAAGATCATATTGAGATGTGCTAATTCATTAATGACGTATGAATATGGTTAGGGTGTATTTCGTACCAAATTTACAACTATATATATGATGTTGACAATTTTATGAAGTGTCAGATTTATAGCATCAGGCTTAGTACAGTACTAACCGTATTTTAATTTCGCCAGAAGTCCTTACAATTATTCATAGGTGAATATACTGTAATTATGTAAACTAGGTTGCTTGGGGGTTAACACTAAAATTAAGGCATTACAGTGTCCAGTTCATTGGAAATATTAATATTCAACAACGGTACAAAGGCATGATAAACTTTAAATGTAAACATAATAACCTTTAATACCATCTTTCATTTTTAAATAACTGTTACATAGTATTTGTTGAATGGAGCGAGCTAAGCTCTTATACTACACTCCTGCTTTTGTTTGACAATAATACTAATAATCCTGAACAGCCAAATCGATTCGCATGAAATTTAGCACAGTCATAGTAACCAACTACATGAAGGTACAAATCTGAAATGGTACAAAGCTGGCCAAATGGATCTTAAAAGCGTTTTTTTAGTTTTTCTTTTAGTTTAATCATCCTACTAATATTATAAATGAGAAAGTTTGGATGTATGGATGTATGGATGTATGTTTGTGACAAGTGAACGCGAAAAATACTGGTCGGATTGGGCTGAAATTTGGCATGATGATAGCTCACATTTCCGATTAACATATAGGCATATTCTTATTTCAAAAATCCTTTTGGGCTCCGCCCCAATGGCTCTGGAGTTTCCCATGTTAACCTTATGAGAAATGGAATTATTGAATCTTAACAGCTGTTTCAATTAAACAAGTTGGTTCTGTTCAATGATGTTCAATAGCATTGAAGTTACAAGGATTACCAACAGGGTGCAGCACTATTATTTCTTTTACATTTATGACCACAGCTAATTTGCAACCAAAAGGTGAGTGAGCGTAGCGAACAAACTTCAACCAGGACGTGATTGAGCCATGTGAACGAGATAATCTTAAAAAATAAGAAGTTAAACGGGGCAAAGCCCGCGGGTTACAGCTAGTTTGATAAAAAATATAGACTAACAACATATATATCCGGGTGACATTTAATTGCTATGCAATTGTTTTGGCTTAAAACTGCCAGATATTGTATTTGCGAAGGTTTATGTGTATTCCTATAATAATTTGCCTGCATATATGAAAAATGCGCACTATATATGCAAACCAACTGCTGTTCTGGTTATAAGAAGGTTTCAACTGACTACAAGATACACGTCCATAGAACAAACAGCTAGTTACAAATAAATACAACAAAAGGGAAAACAATCGGATTAATGTAGTTGAGTAACGATTGAAATTGGAATTTATTACAAAATGAATGACAATAATTATGATGTATACCAATAATTAGCCGGAGTTGGCTAATTCACTATTAGCACTTCAAATAACGCACTTTAGACACTCCAATTAGCGATTCAATTAATGTAAACCAAATATGTCATTGCTCAATTTGCAATATGTCAATTTGCTTTAGCAAAACACCTAACAATTGTTCATGAATATAATTAACGTAATCACCTTTACAGAATTTTACTTTCGAACGGCAGTGATATGTTGCTCAGATTTAATTTTTCCATCTACTTGTTATTACATTTGTTACCTTTGTACGTGTAATTTTACTTGTTATTCGTTATTACTTTGAATCAAATAAAGAAGTGGATTGAATTATAACACAAGTTTTAGATTTCATTTATATTTGGATAGTAAAAAAATAAAAACTAATGAGATGTCATATATACATGATGGTTAAAATGGATATAGGAGATCAATTGGTGTATTCAGTACTTCTTGTATGGCGCAAGAGAAGAGTGCGATAACTTGAGGTACACTGGAGCGGGCGCTGGAGCTTCAACTGGCTTAGAGGCGAACGCTGGAGCAGGGACGTAGCCCTTGGCGGACTCCTTAGACACTACAGCCTGGAAACCGTGACCTTCGTCGGAGTATGTGACGATCCTCTTGGAGCCATCAGGTTCAACTAGCTCGTAAACTCCCTTGACGACGTCTCCATCACGCTCCTCCTTCTGGGTCTTGATGTCGTAGGTGTGGGGGTCGTAGACGGAGTACTCAAAAGCATATTTGGGATACGATGGCTCAGGCTCTTCGTACTTGGGGAAATAAGCTTTAGGAGCGTAAGGTTTAGTTTCTTCAGATGATGGGCTGGAGGGCGATGGCTCTTCAGAAACTTGAGCAAAGGGGTTTGGTTCTTTAAAAGCTTGAGTGTTTGGTTTTGGCTCTTCCGAAGGTCGAGCGAATGACTTTGGCTCTTCGGAAGATTGGGCTAAGGGCTTTGACTCTCCGGAAAATTGAGCAAAGGGTTTCGACTCTCCGGAAGCTTGAGCGGATGGATTTGGCTCTTCGGAACCTTGCGCAAAGGGCTTTGACTCTCCAGAAGCTTGAGGGAATGGTTTGAACTCCAGGGAAGCTTGAGAGAAGGGCTTTGGCTGCCAAAACGCTTGGGCGAAGGGCTTTGACTCTCCAAAAGATTGACCAAAGGGTTTCGACTCATCAGAAGTTTGAGCGAAGGGCTTAGGCTGCCAAAAAGCTTGGGCGAAGGGTTTTGACTCTCTTAAAGATTGACCAAAGGGTTTCGACTCTCCGGAAGCTTGAGCGAATGGCTTTGGCTCTTCGGAACCTTGGGCGAAGGGCTTTGACTCTCTGAAAGCTTGAGCGAAGGGTATCGACTCTCCAGAAGCTTGCGCAAATGGCTTTGGCTCTTCAGAAGATTGGTCAAAAGGCTTTGGCTCTTTAGAACTTTGGGCGAATGACTTTGACTCTCCGACAGATTGAGCAAAGGGTTTCGACTCCTCAGGAGCTTGAGCGAATGGCTTTTGCTCTTCAGAAGATTGGGCAAAAGGCTTTGGCTGCCAGAAAGCTTTGGCGAAGGGCATTGACCCTGTAAACGATTGAGCGAAGGATTTTGAATCAACGGTAGGTTGAGCGAATGGCTTTGGCTCTTCAGAAGATTGGGCAAAAGGCTTTGGCTGCCAGAAAGCTTTGGCAAAGAGCATTGATCCAGTAAACGATTGAGCGAAGGATTTTGAATCTCCGGTAGGTTGAGCGAATTGTTTTGGCTCTTTAGAAATTTTGGAGAAGGGCTTTGGCTCTCCGGAACCTTGAGCGAATGGCTGTGGCTCTTCTGAAGCTTGGGGTAAGGATTTGGACTCTTCGGAAGCTTCAGCGATAGGCTTTGGTTCTCCGGATGCTTGTGCGTAGATTTTCTGTCCGAATGAAGCAGGTTCGGAAGCAATCCACCTGTAGGAGTACTGCGGAGCAGCAGTGGCAGCAGCCAGCAAGATAGCGGCAGCCAGAATCTATAAGACGCACAATAAATACAATAAATATATTCTTTAAGCGAATAAATCAATTACTTATTGTAACTGTCTTCTTAAAATCCGTGATTTTGTTTGGAACAGAATTATTCTGGATAAACAAATGAATTAATTAGTTTTATAAGTGAGAAATGCTTTTAAATAATTTGATATGTGTTATATACCATAGTTATATATAACGTTTCGGTTATCATACAATGCATATTACAGCATACTACTTCTTTAACTTAGAAAGTCATTAATAATTTTCTTAGTGTCAGCAAAACAATGTTTTCCTATATGAACAAATATGCATAACATCAAAACAAAAATGTTAAGTCTAAATAAAAATGTATCCGTAAAGGATAAAGAGTTTTATCGAACATATTTCCTCTTAACAAAAACTTAAAACCCAAAAGGAAAATTCGCCATGCCGATTATCAATCACTAACACTAAACAAATCTTTCTATTCGTACATTTCAAGTTTTTAAATTTTTATTCCAACCATTTTACAATGACTGACTGTTGGTAATTGAAGTAGGAAAAACTTGGTATTAAAACTAGGCCTAAGAGACGTAGCTAAGGAATTTGTCAAACCCAAGCTTTAGACTAGGCACCTCATATCCATGATTGTGTATTCAAATCATATTGCCAAATTTTTATGGTTGCAGTACAAGTGAAATTGGTAAACTGCTAGACACCTCAACACGTTACAATTCTTTCTAGTTTACAATTTGCTTGACAATTAATAAAAGGAGTGCCACTTTAGACAACTTCCCCTATCTAATAAAGAAATCTCTAAACTGTAATAAGGTCGCAAACAACCTTTAAGTGTTCTTAAAGCTAGTCACTAAGTTAAAAGTTAAATGTTATTTTTGTCGCAAAAGCTTAAGTACAAATTTACATTCATTTGAACCATTTATGGATGATAGGCCTACTCGTGTTCAAATATTTAAAGTTAAATGCAGTATCATAGTAATCATAGAAAAAAGTGATATTTAAAACAATGGTAATATCCAAGGATAAATAATCGTAAGTTATACAATTGTTTTACGAAGTACTTTTTACGGATGCACTGATGCGCGTACATATAGTATAAATAAATAACAAATTTCATGCGTAATATTAACTTTCATGCGATCCATAAGCTTAATGTTAGTTATTGCACTAAATCAAACTTAAGTTAAGCAAAAAATTACAAATGTTAACTATAGTATTTTTAAAAACAAAAATTGCATTTCTAAAAACTGTTGCCTATAATTTAAATTACAGCTTCAACATTCCCCCCTTTTCAAAATTATTTTCCTTCATAATGAGGCTCATGAAAATTCGTAAAAACCTTGATTCAGAATCGTTGGTCAAAAATCCGATCACGTTTTATTACTTAACCACGAAAGCCATTATATCTATAATTAAATTGAAAACAACAATATTAATTGTTAATTGTTTTATCAAGATATGATTCCGAGAACAAATCACACTAGCAAACTATCCAAGCACAGAATTTAAACACAAAGGTATCAAAAATCCGATACACTAGACACTAAATTGTTAACATTTTTTATCAAGATTTGATTCTGAGAAAGAATCCCACTTGCAACCTATCCAAGCACAGAATTTAAACACAAAGGTATCACAAATCCGATACACTAGACACTATTCACACTGATAATCACTAAACTGAGCACTGTTCACCCACCTTGAAAGCCATGATCACAGTTGTGCAGTACCGTATGACACCCTGCTAACACTGGCCGGTATATATACTAAGATCTTAAGATACCCAAAGAGGGGAGTCAGGCTATCCCGGTTTTCGGATTTGATCCACGTGTCTCACATCAGCTGCCAGGACAACTCTATAAAGTAAACGGTCATTTACACCTAACCACTGGGTCATAGACAAAACCCGCTACGTATTCTATTAATTGTATTCCGCAGCTCATTAGTGTCACGATTTATCCATCAAAACAATAAAAGTGTTTAAGTATGTCACATATAGAATGTTTTTAACAGTTATTAAAAGTGCTGTGAAGCATTGTTCCGACAAAAAACGTATTCCCTGGTATCCCTGTTTTCTTGATTTTATTTTGCGATTAGCTGATATGTATTGTTGCACAGTTGTCTAGAAGGTTTAGTGTTAGTGGGAATTAATTGTAGATAAGACTCAACATGGTGTTTTTACAACCTGAAATAGAGTATCTGTTGTAGGTATACTTTTTTACTGCGAATCTGGTTTCCTTGCACTTGTTTTATTCTTATTCTCCACATTCTTATTCTTCTCATTCTTATTCTTATTGTTATTATTGCACTTGTATATTAATCACACCTACAAAATTAATTTCAAACTTTCCTTGGCGTAAAACCAATGATTTATTTTTAACTTATTCTTCTAAATCTTTGAGCTTGGGAAAACACCACGTTGAGCATTATCTATCTATCTATCTATACTATTATAAAGAAGAGATGGTGTCTGTGTGTGTGTTTGTATGAGGTAATCTCAAAAACTACTGAACCGTCTGGGCTCAAATTGCACACAAATGAAGCTACAGCTCCGAGGATACATATAGAACTATTCCCGCTTCGATATTGTCCTAGGGCTCTGCCCCGTGGGCTTTCAAATATTTGAGGTGAAAGATTTAAAAGTAAATATTGATTGATGGTATCCATGGTAACAAAGAACAAACCTACAAAGTTTAAAAATGTAAACAAGCAGAACTAACTGTCAAATGAATTTTGATTTCATAATTCCACACAGCTGGTTCAAACATATTAAATACTGCACGAATATTAGAACAGAGAGGGTAAGGATTATAAATTTAAAATAATGATGTCACTAGCGCGAATGTAAACATTAATTAACATTACTAAAATGGAGCTGTCAAACCATATGTTAATGTAATTTGAATTTCATTAGTATATGATTCTTTCAGTTACTTCATTTGTTTATGTTTATGATCTATAATACTGAGGCTGTAATAATATTTTACAGGGAATAATTCGTTGTAAAAAAATCGTTCATGGATATAGGAAATAATTAAGATTATACAATAATCATTGCCGTATCAACCTAGGCTCTTATCCTTAGTTTTATGAGGTTTATTTTTTTATTTGTTTTTGTGTAAACAGTAATAACCCCCTGCCACAGCAAATCTATAGACTGAGCGAATTTCCATTTGCCTGATTAAAATTTCACTAAAATATGTTATAAACCCTTATTTTCCATATTTATTTCAATTTTCCTATTTTTCGGTTTGGAACTATGTGATAGCTTTTCGTTTACAGTGCAAACCATGAAATACATTCTTTTATTATACCTTAAAATCTATCATTGGTTTTGTATCGTAGGTTAGACATATTCTTACCTCAAAAGTCCTTTCAGGCTCCGCCCCAGTGGCTCTGGCTCTGGAGTTTCACATGTAAACCTTATGAGTATTTATATTTAAAGAAATTAAAGCATTTTTTCAGCCGTTTCAACTCCACAAATTGGTTCTATGATATTAAATAACATTAAAAAGGTATAAGGCTTACCAACAGAGTGCAGCACTATTATGTTTTTTGCATTTATGACCACAGCTAATTTTAACCAACTAGCAAAAAAAAGTTGTGGAACACAATGAGAACTTAACATTTTTTCGTGGTTTAGGTGCAGTGGTAGAAAATTAGGGCTATGGTAGATACTGTAGGACATTATAGGATACCGTATAAATTAAAAGACCAAATTTTCTTAAACCGTGCCCTCTCCCAAAACTACAATAATCATTTATACTTATATGCCAACCCCGTACGAAAGACGGGTACTCTGCTAGTATACAATAAACTCCCAATACTACTAAACCTCATACATAACTATGTAAAAATACTTATCAGCTGATCGACAATGAATTAAAGAAACGGGGATAGTAACATATACCTTTTTTTGTCGTTAAACTGTTTCTCACAGGACTTTCAATTTGGGTTGTGCTAAAAACCCCATATAGCACATATAATTATAAAATATATTTCAATGTCTGATATTTTTTTTATTAATATTAAATATTAAGCATTGACTATACCTAGAAGAATAGGCTTCTCATGTAATGTAAAAATGTAAAGCCAAGAAAATATATAAAGTTTAGAACCATCTCACCAGGAGCCCATTTCATAATAAAGTACAAACTATTATTATTAGTAAATCAGCTGATCAGCAAATGCAAATCTAATGGAAATTATAAGTTACAAGTTGTAACTTTTAACTTGTAGTTTATTATGAAATAGGCCCCAGACGGTACTAGTTTATTGGGTTAAATATCAATTGAAATCAATACAGTATCATAGCAAACAGCTGATTGATTTATCACTTGGCACAGAATATTATGATTAGTTTGTAGGCCATATCAACTGGTAGCGCCACGTTTTTTGACTTCAAATTTTTACATTAAATGGGAAGTCTATTCTGTGTATAGTCAATATGCCTTTGCTAGTAGGCCAATGCATATTATATGCACAACTACAACATTGACAATCATAATTTTTATTTAACTCATATGAATCATTAATTTAAGATCAAGTTAGCATTATAAGCTTATGTGCTGTACTACTTTTATAAACATCAACAGTATTAATTTATTTTCCGTGTACTTATTACAATAAGGGTTTCCCTGTAACATCCCTTTTCCAGCTGACCTACTTAACCGATTATTATGATTTAGGTGTCATTATAAAGCTTATGATTTAGTACAGCTGTGAATGGTACCTAGTTAAAAGGGACTTTCATTTTAGACTTCGTCCCTCCCCTCCCTTAGGCCGGCCGCACACCTGATACAGCACGGCACGGCAAGGCGAGGCGAGACGTCTTTGCCTCGCCTTGCCGTGCCCGATGGAGATTTGAGATGCATACGGCACGGCACGGCAAGGCGACTTGAGCACCCACATGGTCGATCCCCAGGTTGTTCGTACATTTTGTGACACTTTGTACTACACATTTTGTGATAATGGATGCAGAAGGCGAAGAAGAGGCTGCTGCCATCGCTGCTATATGGTACCATTGACTGTTGTGTTTATATAGTCAATGATGGTACCTAATGAATGTAATGGATGATCTCCCTAAGAGAATCGTGGGTGCATCCTATCAACCAAAAAAGGAACTTGAAACCATTCATTGCAGAACTAAGAGCAGATCCGGAAAAATCATAATTACTAATCGTTGGAAGTGCACACTGATTTTGACAGGGGCTGTCACTGCGCTGAACGTGGTGTCGATCCTCGCGCATGCGCACATCGTTTTGCCTCAAGCCTTTTGCCCGAAAGACGAAAATTGAAAAGGCAGAACAAAGCGCCGTACGGCGCTGTTTTGCCTTGCCTTTCCGTGCCCGATGATGTGTGCGGCACCCCCATTTGAAATAATAGAAATCTAGTCGCATAAGGCGCCTTAAGGCAAAACGTCGCGCCGTGCCGTGCCGTGCCGTGCCGTGCCGCATCAGGTGTGCGGCCGGCCAGGCCGGCCACACACAGAACCAGGCGGGTCGGGGCGCGACAGGGCACAATGAGACGCCTGACTTAAGCCCTGACTTGTTGCTGTCACACACAGAATGAGGCAGGGAACGTCAAGTAAAAAGTTTAACCCCCATAAACCTGAAAATTAACATAGGATTTTTTTTCTGAGCCTTGAGCCGATTTAGCCAACTTTTAAATTTGACTTTTTACTTGGGAATAGAATAGAAAACAAAATTCAAACAGTCATACCTCCAGAGGTGTGGTTTTTGAAACCCTTAAGATATGAACGTTGGCCCTCTCTTTCCTCCGTTATCAATACCAAGATATATTATTAATTATTCAACCACTTTAGTAATATCATCACTGTATAATCGTATCAAAGGGTGTAATCTTTGGTGGTATAAATTGTTACAGTCTTGTATGTAAATTGTATTAGTTGTAAAATAAACCTTATCAAAATTATCCGTTAAGGGAATAAATCACTTGACCGCGCATGCGCAGAAAGTTCTGCCCGGCAGCGACTTGCCTCGGGGCATAATTTTGGAGACCTTCGCATTTTGCCCTGAGGGCGCCCGGGGGCGTCTTTTCGACGTGCCCTGCCTCGCCCGGTCCTGTGTGTGGAGCTCCATAAGCGCCCGTGCAATTCCCGTCGCACAAGACGCCCCGGGGCAAAATACCCTGTCGCGCCCTGCCTTGCCTGGTTCTGTGTGTGGCCGGCCTCGTTTAATTTATTTCTAGAGACTATTTCAAATATCTAACACAAACCAACTTCTTTTTTAACTGTATAAATGTGAATTGTAATTTATAAGCTGTTCCTTCAGTTGAATGTTTAATCACAGTCAAATTATAACCAAGAGACAGACAGTTGATGTAAATGCATTTTATGCTTTTATGCAAATGCCCCAAGAAAATATATGTGTGCTATATTCTTATATCAGGAATGTTACGGACATCACGGATATCCTAATTACAATTTTATCCTTATCATCTAAATAAAAGGGGATAGGCGTAGACTAGAGGGGTAGGGGGTAGCTCTAGAGAAAAATGTAGAGTGGTTTGGAAAATACCTGCGTCTGAGTACAGTATTTACACAAAGGTTCTCTGTGATATTAAGCTAATATCTAGGTAAGTAATATTTCACTTGACAACTGCGTATTTTTTCTTTAAACTACTGTTCTAACACAGTGTTCGTTAAGGTTAACAAGATGGTATTATTCGTAAATAATAACTTACATTTGATTTGTAAGAAATAAAATACTGGAAATAGATATACTGGTAG